TGTGTGTGTGTGTGTTTGTGTGTTATATATACATATGTATACCCCTCGGCCAGAATTATCTCATTGAGGTGCTGTGAATCAGCCAGGCAGAGACACCGCTGACCGATCGCACGACACGAATGGATGATGTGGCTATTAAGGTCTCAGTTCATTTGCTCGGCTGTGTGTTTGTAGTATCGTCATCGTCACCATCCCTGTACCAGAAGAATATATTATAAACGGTTACACGGTATGTGAGACACAGTTGCCTAATAACATATGACACATTAATATATTATGATACGTTGAGTTGCGGAGTATGGACTGTCGCGCACATGACGCAGCCTCTGGATGTAATGTCATCGATGCCATTCGCGCATACACTGTGGATGTACCGAGAGTGGGTATCCCAGTGTAACACGGAGATATGGCTCGATTATATTATGTGGGGGTAGGGCTTAGGGTTTAAGGTTACTTCCCAACGAACAGGACCATTGCACTGGGCAAGGGATGGGCACGTCACACGAGAGTCGTCCCATGGACCACTCAGGGACATCTGCTGTAGATAAAGGGGCGATCAGTGACTCACCTAGCACAAAGGCAGCCACCATCTGGTGCGACGGCTGCACTGTGGGGAAGACGGACACAGGACTTGTCTGATCCGCAGCGGTACACTCTACGCCGCACGTGGTCACGGGAGAGTGTGAGAAGGCACGCGAGTGGTTAGTGGCCGTGTGCACAAGTGGTGGCAATGGCGCCGCTGGTAGATGAGGTTGGATGGTACTTGGGTGAATAGCACATGGCTGGGACGGGTGGTATGTGGTACTCTGCCTATCGGAGACTTGTATGTGGTGGGGTAGTGATTCTGCTGATGATACTGTGTATGGATGTGTTGAGGACGTTGCTATGGCAACTGATGCAACCCAGACTCTTAGCCACACACTACGAATAAGAGGTGTGTGGCACTCACACGCAACCCGATGCAGATACAGCCCAACAGTTGTTGGTACAAGCTCACTGTATGCGTATACATTTGTACAGCCCTTACACTGTGAGCGTCACAGCGGTGCATGCAATCACAAGGAGTGCACAATACAAGTGGAGAGAGACGGCAATAAACGGATATGCAAAAGTTGTCTAACGCGTGTTGCTTCTCAGAACTACCCACTCCCCAGTCACGTGCATACAGCCGATTGCAACGGCCACACATACACAACAATCACCACCACAACCTAACACCCACAACGCACCAACACCAACCAACCAAACCACCACAAGAAGTACCCACCATACTCCGAGGGACTGAACAGACAATTATCACCACAACCTAACACCCACAACGCATCAACACCAACCAACCAAACCACCACAAGAAGTACTCACCATACTCCGACGGACTGAACAGCACAGCCAGGCACAGCAGCAGCACTGCCGCCGTGAACAGCACCACAGACGGACTCGTACGGCGCGTGTCTACGGCTTTGTATCTGTGCACACTCTCGTGCACGTTGTCTAGGTTGGAGGTTGTGCCGTCTACGCTGCCCCTGCGTACACCCTCTGCACCGGTGATGCTGCCTGTAAGCGGTGATTTATTTCGGAAGTGTAGTTGGTTGTGAGAGTTGCGAAGTGAGCAGCTGTGGTGTGTACACGCCGATGCTGGTGGTTACGAGATTGTATTGTAAATTGGCATGTAAAACGTTTGTATGATTAAATGGGATGATAAAACGTTTGTGCGGTTGAATGGGATGGTAAAACGTTTGTGCGGTTGAATGGCATGATAAAACGTTTGTGCGGTTGAATGGGATGGTAAAACGTTTGTGCGGTTGAATGGGATGGTAAAACGTTTGTGCGGTCGAATGGGATGATAAAACGTTTGTGCGGTTGAATGGGATGGTAAAACGTTTGTGCGGTTGAATGGGATGGTTAAACGTTTGTGCGGTTGAATGGGATGGTAAAACGTTTATGCGGTTAAATGGGATGGTAAACCGTTTGTGCGGTTGAATGGGATGGTTAAACGTTTGCGGTGTGAATTGAGTTGCACCAGATACAACATGCATGGCACCACCTGATTGTGAATAACACGTGCGCATCCGCCCGTCGATGTCGATCTTCGCATAGGCTTGTAGCATGGGACGATTGCAATGCACACGACACACATTACACTCCTGTACATGACAGGGTTATCTGGTGACTGAGACTGCTTGGGTATAACCAGGCCTCAATTTGAAGGACAATTTGGTCCACCTAGGTAACAAAACGGTGCAATATACACTCCTCTAGCAGCATTTAGACTTGAAAGGACCCAATGATCATCAAACAGGTGCCAAAACGTTCTACCAGTCCTGTTTGTAATCCACAGCATGCGTTGCTCGTACATACGTATGCGTTTCTGGCAATACGTACGTACGTACGCACTCAGGTGATGCTTACCGCGTGATCGGTTGACATAGGCCGTGGCCACAGTGACACCTTCCACCGATCTGCTGTCGTCCCAACAACTGATCTCGAACTTAAACTGGAAGACACACACACGCACAGAGAGAGGGAGAGAGAAAGAGAGAAAGAGGTTGTGTGAAACTCTGTGTGTGAGAGAGAGAGAGTGTGTGTGCGTGTGTAAAACTGAGAGAAAGTGTGTATGTGAATAGATATGTGAGACAGTGGCACGAGTAGAAGATACATGCAATAATACAAGTCATAGACGCATCTTTTCTAAACACAGGTGCAAAACGTTAGATAAAATGACAGGGAAGGACAGGCACAAGAAGAAGATACATGCAGTACTACAAGTCATAGAGGCATCTTTTCTAAACAAACAGGTGCAAAACGTTAGATAAAATGACAGGGAAGGACAGGCACGAAAAAAGATACGCGCACATGCGCGTTTGGCATCTAAGTTCTTATTTCATCCGACGGAATATTAATCCAGCCATTCAAACAGTCCAAGCAACACGAGTTACGTGCTATTCATGAAAGCGTTTGCATGCGACTGATGAAAGTGTTTACATGCAATTGATGCAAAAGTTTGCCTGTGATTGATACAAGCTGCTACATGCGATTGATGAAAGCGTTTACATGCAATTGATGCAAGTGTTTGCCTGCGATTGATACAAGCTGTTACATACGATTGATGAAAGCATTTGCAAGCGATTGATGAAAGCGTTTGCATGCGATTGATGAAAGCGTTTACATGCAATTATTGCAAGTGTTTGCCTGCGATTGATACAAGCTGCCACATGCGATTGATGAAAGCGTTTACATGCGATTGATGAAAGCGTTTACATGCGATTGATGAAAGCGGTTGCATGCGATTAATATGAACTGTTAAGCGTTTGCCTGAGATTGATATATATTTTTAGGAATGTCAATATGATGATAGCACTGAACAGTCAGGCGTGCAACAGCACGTGTACATACCCGCATTTTCCCCGACTCTATGCACATGTACATACCCGCACTTTCCCTGAGTGTGTGCACGTGTACATACCCGCACTTTCCCTGAGTCTGTGGCAGCTGTGGGGTTCAACGTCACCACCACACCGAATGACGATTTGGGTTTGAGTGTTCCTTTGGCGCTCTGGAGGCGGTGCAAATGAGGCAGCAACAATAGGGTTTAGGGTTTATGCAACAACCACAGAGTAACACGGCAATGGTGGTTAAACCCGCAGAGAGGCACCCACACGCGCAACGTACAACAAAAGACAGCAAGGACTACTGTCCACATGCAGAACATTTAGATAAATCATGTGCAGTGAAGAGGTTAAGGCTAACAGAAGAAGTGATACCATATGAAGATAACAAGATGTGATACCATATTAAGTTAGCAAGAAGTGATACCATATTAAGACAACAAGATATGATATCAAATTAAGATAACAAGATGTGATACCATAATAAGATATCAAGAAGTGATACCATATTAAGATAACAGATATGATGTCATATAAAGATCAAGATGTGATTCTAGAGCTAATTGCCAGCGATTGATGACTACATGTGTGTAGTATGCACTGTCACTGTGCGATATAAACACAACCACAGCCACACGCCCCCTGGTTGTTAATTTGGCACGTCTGTTGGTGGAGGATACACTAGGCGACTGTGTCTACACGCTGCAGTTCTACGGTTGCAAATACAGATTATTGCATGCATGGACATGCACGCATCTATCTGAGCTATTCTTAGCACTACCTCGTGTGCACATAGGCAAAAAGGTACGTGCAAGGTACTTGGGTCACACTTTAACTATGTGAGAAAATTACCTGCAACTTGTAGCAACACACACCTATTCAGAAGTACAATATATATATA